GGCGTCGGGGGTTTCGGAGGAGAGGCGAACGTCTAATACGAGATGTGGGTGATCGACACTGTGCGATCGCCCGGATGCCGAAACGCGACGACGAAGTGAAGCGGCAAACAGTATCGCTTGCGGCGGTCGCGACGCACCGATGTCGTCGGACAAGCGTAATCCTCCTTTTCCCTCTTATTTTTTTTTCTTTCCTCCTCTCTTTCGCGGGTTAAATATAGCTTGTAATTACCGTGCACGAAGCGGACCGACGAGTGACAGCTTCTACTGGCACGGTCCTTCCTCTCGGCAGCGACGGCAGCCACGATGCACAGTTTACAGCATTTTACTCGGTATTCGATCGAGAGAAACATCTATCCACCATGCGGCGCGGCGGGACTACGTGATCACACTGCTCTGCTGTTCGCTCGGCTCGTTCGCGGCGTCACGCACTTCGAAGATTGGTAGCTCCGAACGCAGCAGCCAATCACAGCGCGCCGGCGGGCGCGGTTCATTTGTCTCGCGAGTGCGTCGACCGCGAGCAGCTGGTAACGTGAACGTCTACAAGTTGTTTGCTACCACCTCTTTTCTCTCTCTCGCGATAACAGATTCGTAGTTGAAGCATAATACATAATTGGTTCATCCTCAGAAGGACGAATAGCATTTTAGAAAAATGTTTGGAACTTTGTGTTGAAAAAAAGGAACGTTATGTAAAAGTATTGAAAAGAATTGTGCTTTAAAAACGCAAACTGATGAAGAAAGTAAAATTGTATAATAAATACATTTAAGATTCTGTACGCGCGTTCAGAATAAATTTACTCATTTGCTTCCTGATACACGTCTTAATCTTCTTATTTCAAAGTTAGACATGACAGCTTATTAAAATCTGTGTATTCTCACAATCTGATAAATATGGATGAATAATTTTTATAATAAATTTGTGAAGTCATGCGATAAGAAAGTTCTAGTTTGTTCAGACTTCTTTTTAATTTCAAAATGCATCGGAAAATTAATAAGACAGCTGTACAGATTTGATTTATGTTCGTTATAAATCTTATTGAAATGATATCAGTAATAATTGACGTAAAGATGTTATCCTCTTCGATGATTATCTGTTAAATAGAAAGACAAATCAATGTGACCGTATGTTCAAAATACTGATTTGTTATGAAAACAATATTTTCTCATACATTATCTTCTGATAGTTGGACTTAAAATCTTTTATGTAAATTAAACTGTAAGTTTTGATTTTTATTTTATCTATAATGCACTTAGATTTATGTCAGTACTGGACATTTATCGCCAAATATAAATGATTATTGCCTTCTTATTTGTATTGGACAAAATTTTGATTTGAAAAATATTTAAAATTAATTAATATTTATTAGAAGGGTATAAATGAAATACATAGATACTGTCCCATTTATGCTTATATTGCACTCTCTCATAGATGTACAGTTGCTCAATTCTACATACTCACGTTTTCTTAATTTTCTTAACGTACATATTTGCCATTAAAGTTTGTGATGTTCCATCTATATGTACAAGAAAATATTAATGATGCTTACTCTTATACGGATTCAACGATTGTCGTGAACAAGATCTGATACAAATGGTATACTAAATTCAAGAATAACATAAACAAGGACAGGTTTTGAAAAGTTTCTTTGAATAAAAAAGAAACCACACCATATTCACGAAAATGTTGAACACTGGTTATCACAATTACATCACAATCAATGTTGTCAATACTTAATTACACAAACATGTTCGGCACTAATCAAAAACAAGATTAAAACCGAACAATATGAAGATTATAATAACTTATGTAAGAAAACTATGTTAGTTATTACTTAATATACTAAATGCTATGTAGTATAAATATTATGCTGTATTATATTAATTATTCTCATTCAATCCATCACTCTCTGTGACAAGAGCTCGCTCCAAGATAACACGACCTTCTTTGTAGCGCTGCTGCTCATCTGTTGCAAATTCGTACACCCATCCGAGCTTAGCGTCACAGTTTTTGCAACTGACATCTCGAACCATATGACGACCTGTCAGCATCACTCTATCTTGTACCTCGCTATATATTACAAAGTTAAACTTTTGAGAAAAGGCACAAAATGATATATGAGTGTGGATTTAATATTCACAATATTGTTTTTAACATCATATATATTGTTTTTCTATCTTGCATTTTATTCATAATACTTTTCTACTGATTGAAATAATTTATGGACAAAGAATAGTTAAAAAGAATGCAATATAACAAATGGTTCAATGCCACAATGGCAGGAAGTGAAAGCTGGATGTAAATATGCTGGATGTAACAATGCACAAAGCTGTCATCTTTTATCAGGACTTTATTTGATGCGATTAACAACGCGAAGGTATAAGCTAACATACCTATAATTCAGATTGACGACTTTGTTAAAAAGAAATGCACGTCCCGTGGCACCCGTGAAGCGTGTGCTTACGAGGTTTGCCCTGTTGGTGAGATTAGTGTCACAGGAAGCACAAGAGAATAGGCGAGTGCCACCGATATGTTCAAGAAATATTACTCCCATTTCGAATAAAGCTAAACAATCTGTCAAAATCAATTCACTATCGGCAACAATGATGTATTTAGTGAATCAATACGCGTCACGGCAACGAAAGTCACACTGTCAATGTACCATACTGCTTTAGCTGTGTACGTATATATATGTATATATACGTGTTAAATGTATATCAACATTTGAAGTAGGAATGTTTTTATCATACATCATAGATCACGAGAATATAGAATCGAAACTTCCAATGTAAAATATAACGTGCAGGAAAAGATGCATGAACAATGCATGAATATTTAGAAACGAATTTTTATCTACATTCGAACCGGAAATGTATACTTCAGGTATCAAGCTTCTATAGAATTTGAATGTTCCCGCGCGATAAAAAAAACTTTATTAGAAAATCTTAACTTTCGTCTTTTGATAACATTTTTTTCTTGTAAATGACAACTATTTTACATTTTACATTTTAATTACACAAGTATAGCGTAATTATATTGCTATGTAATGAGTACAATATTTTTATTATTAGTAATAAATGTGAATGAATGTGAAAAGAATATTTTGAAAATCTTTATATATTTAAATACTCTTTATAATTACATATTTGGATAAAATTTTAAAAGTACAATTGTTCAAAAACTATTTGTGATAATCATATTAATAAGTAATATTTTATACTTTTCTAACAAATAAATAAATGACATGAAAATATTTATAGTACAAGATAAGATTACAAGTATGCATAAACAATTGTGAATAAAATGTTACATCAAAATATTATATCTTTATTATTCATATAAATGGTATACAATATGTACACGTATATAGACTCGTGTAAATTACATTCTTTTAAAGCTAGGTACATAGATGTTTTGTGCAGTAAAATTCGAAACATTCTCCCCTGATTTTATGAAATCGTCCGATCTTTATACATTGGCAACTAAGCCCGATTGTAAAGTCCTGCACCAACACAGTCGCAAACTGCGATAGGTACAAATGTAAAAGTCAAAATGCGGTCAGAAGAGCGAAATAAATCTAAAATATATTGTTGGTCGGTTATTTAATTATTATGTTCATATCTCTTCAAGGCACATTTGAAATATAATCAGTACATTCCTTTGCAAACTACGGAGAAACCTATTAACGTTAGATACTCGTTCCTATCACTTTACAAACAGTTTACAAAGTTAAATCGTTAATCAAGTTACAGAGTTTTATATACATATATAGAAAGATAAAAGGAGAAAAATAGAGAGTTCTATATATATATATATTTATAGAGAGAAAAGTAGAGAAAACGAGAGAAAAGGAAGAAAGAAAATCAATAGAAAAATATAAAATATTAAAAACTCCTTTAGCCGAAATCACAGACAAGTCTCTTACTTTCTCAAACAGAGCACAAAGTCGCATCCTTTCGTGGTCTTAACGCTAAATATAATAAGATATATAGTTGATATAAATATTATAAATATACATTTATATATGTAAATAGTCTTATCACTCTATTACATGCATACACGGAGAGATACATATGCATTTCAACATACACTTCTCTGTACACACCCGAAAAAATCTATACACATTTAAACTGACATATGTAAGCGCTCGTTTATCGCGTGTATGCATGTGTGAAACATGTAAACAGTGGTCGCATATGTATATATATATCCATATTTTGATTATATCCTTTTTGATGATCAGGTCGTATCGTGAAGGATATTCCATTTCGTACTTTTATATAATACTGCACCTATACCTATGTACATCGAATGCCGGTAGAATATAAAATAGAATACAAGGTAAAAGATATTTTCGCATCTCGGATATCGAAAAATAGATTCACCTCAAATTTCGCAGGTTGCATTTATGATTTCCGGCAAATCGATACAATGGAATCACTAACTCATGCCAATTCGCGCACACAGCTTCGTGAAAGAAAAGTAACGAGTTAAGGAATTAAGATGTAAATATTCCATTAAAAAAGTATAGAACAATATACAAGTTTTTGTCTGTTCATACTGTGTCTTATTTCTTCGATTCAACCTATCTTCACATAGACGTCATAGCTTTGCGTTATCTAATCAAGCTCATTGTTGGCTCTGATTCATAAAATCTTATGAAAACTTCAATAAAATAAATTTAGATAAATCTAACAGAGAAAAGTACTGATAATTCGAAATGTTGTTGACAAAACTTAGTAACGCGTGATAAAATATTTACTACTTGCATTTTAATTAATTATGTACTAGCTAACTCAACTATTTTATGCACAATTAAACAAAAATAACATTATATGCTTTTCCAAATTGTGTTTGGAATAAATCAAAGGAAAAAGATCATTTTTATCTTCCTATTTTGTGTTGGTAGAACACATTCCAATTTAAAAAAAAATACCTCTCTCATATACTGAAATATAATGGAATAGTCTATAGTCGATAGCAGTCATAATATTAATATTCGTAATAATAAAGAGATTAACAATAAAGATATTAACAATAATCATTACGTTATTGATACCATAACAGTATCGTTCATAACAGCACTTGGAGAAATATTTTCTAATCCCGGTGAAGTAGGAAATTGTGTATGGAGAAAACTTAATAAAGTTTTGGTTTAATAGTGCGACCTTACGTAACCATAATTCGCTACTCATTGATGGGTAACACAATTAAGCATTATTTTTGGTAAGTTTTGTTCTGTTGGCGGCAACTGTAGCGAGACACTCTAGAGCTTCAAGATCTGGAGGTGCGCACCAAGCTATTAATATGCAAAATATTAATTAAAGCAACAAGAATTGAAATATTTCATTAAAATAGATAAATATTACAAGCATTAAAGTGCCAAAATTTAATTTTTGAATGGAGAGCAAGAAATTATATTAATTACAATTAAAATTATACGCAATAAATTTCTTTTCTGTTTGAAGTATTTTAAAAATTATTCAAAAAATATGATGTATATTTTTGATTGTTACAAAATTAACATCTATATTAAATATATTAAATATATCAAATTGTGATGTTTTCAGCTAATGTTGAAAGAAATAATAACTTACATTTATTTGGTTCTTGATCCTCAGAATGCTTACTGGAATTCATTGCCGCAGCGTTTCTTGTAATGCTCTGCTTTCGTGCTTTTCGTTTCTGACTTCCAACCAGGGCTTTTTCTGATTCCTCGTAATATTCGTTTGCCGTATTCATTCTTCGAGTCTGACTATTAGAAGACGGATTATTCTGATGCCTCTTACTTGTTGAAGAGTTATGCTTTTGTAGAATTTTCTTTTTCTTCGTACGTTGTTGCTTTTTCTTTTCTTGAAATTCCTCTAAACTTAAAGATGGTAGTGCTTCGATCTTCTTTTCCAGATTGAAGTCCCTGCAGAAAGTTTATTATATATATAATACATGTTTTTATTTAAAAAATTACACAGATAAAAAAAAATAACTCAAAAAACATACTCTGCTCGAAATCTTTTACGAGCCGTCCAAGGTCCGTAATCTACTTCATTTTCTGCTCCTTCAGTTTCTGTGTCCTCAGGCTTGGAAGCTTCCATGTTTCCTTCAGCACTAGATATATTAAAAAATTATTATTATATACAAAAAGTAGCAAATATGTCGCAACATAGCTGAGGTTTGATCAAATACCTCTCCACAAGATGTTCCAATTCTCCACGAGAACTGTTTCCTCCTTCACTGCTCAAGGAATCTGTCTTTTCACTGACATTTGAAGAAATGGAATTCCTTCTTTCGGTTGGGCGTTCATCAGGTCTGAAACAATGAAAGATACGCTAAAGGGTACATTTTGTAACGTTTAATGATGTCGTTATGTATCACTGCACAATTACACGATACAAACTACTTGATATATAATGACATCGTTTAAAAGTTGCATTACAGAATAGAGAGCTATATTTGAAGATATATCTGGAGAAATAAAAATTCTCTATAAAATTAAATAGTCGCTGATACTTTACATGGTCTCGAGAGATCTTACAAAAATTAATTTAATTATCTACCCATTATTTCCCGCTGGTCGTCTTCGTTTGGTTTGTTGGCCAGACGGTCCAATATTTTTCATTTGTTCAGCAAGGAACTTCTGATAACGTAAGCCTTTACACGTTCTCTCACTGCGAAAGTTCTCCTCCGGTTGTGTCACAAAGGAATTTATTGCATTTTTCTCATCCTCTATGATCTGAAAAGAGAGAATCTTTAATTGATCATAAATCAACAAATACACTGCAATTCGTGCAATTTGAAATACTTCACAAAGTCGTTTTCGTACAGCAAATCGATTCTTACCGTTTCATGTTGTTCGTTGTTGTTAGACTCAGCCTGTTTCCTTTTCTTTTCACCAAAGAGGTCTATCTTAAAGTCCCTTTTCTGATTATCTTGGAAAGGTGATTCCGTATATCGTTTTTTAGGTGGCTTTGGAACAGCGTCAATTTCTGTAACGATACCATTAACTGTTCCCTGTTCCTCGGATGTCTCTGTCTTCTGAGGAGTGAAGAGAGAGCTGAGTCCACCAATCTGCGATTCATCCGCTAATTTGCCTGGTTGAATTGATTGTCCGTCCCGTCTATCTGTCTTTGTACAATCGGAAGACTCATATTCAGATTTGACACTATCTGTGGGCTGTGCACCACCACTTGATTCCTGCTTCTTGTTTGTAGGCCTAGTATTTAAAGTACGTAGTGGAGGTGCTGGTAATTTGTACCACTTGAAGTCGGGATTTGCATTTAAGAATGCATCCTTGTACTGAAAAGAAAAGAAAATATTTTATTATGTTATGTAACTGTATGCTACATAATGCACAGCATGATATGCTGTTTGTATACAAAACTGGTGATAAACTTGAATGAGCGATATTTTTTTTCTTAATAAATTTTCTTTCAATATTCTGCAAAATAGTTTATCAATTTCTCAAATGTGATTACACTTACTTCCTGTGCAAGATTTGTATAGGAACGCTTCTGATCAGGATGAAGGGTTGCCCACCACTCACCCAAGACCCTGGTGACTGCCCTATTTTCTAAATGTGGAAAGCCAGAACGCACTGAGCCACGATGTCTCTTACAAAAAATTAGAAATGCATTCATGGGACGTCTTGCATGATGGGCTGGCTCCCTTGTTTCACGTGATTCCTATTTATTTGCACAATAATTTACACCATTTAGCATCTAGTATATAATAGTCAAATTACAATTGTATTACAAATATATGACAGAATGTATAAGAAATTCATTTCATTCTTTTCCCAAATGGGTGTGGCTCACATGGATGTATATTTACTTCATTAATAAATTTGATAATGAAAGTGTCCCACTTAACAGTAGCTATTGTGAATTTAACAATAGTTTTTAGGCAAATTATCCGTCTTTTTATATAATTTACAAATATTTTTATCAACTTTATTCAGCAAACATTACTGCAAAGAAGCGGAGAAGCAAAAAATCTGAATTCGCATAATTTAAACTTAATTCAATTCGTTCTTAATTGCAATAATATTTATCCATTATGTAAATACATTTTTTAATCTTTATCTTCAAGAATTTCTAACATAAATTTTGAATCCATTATTTAAATACGCATTACTACATATTCCGACTAACATGTTTACAAATCTAGACAAACAACTAAAATGCCTCTCTCTTTCTCGCTCTTGCGTTAGGAAATACACACCCGCGGTGTGTATCATCAAGTTTTGCATCATAGCCGTAAGTAGCCATGTTGCTGTATTGGTGAAGCCTTAAAATGACACAGCCTGTCAGTATCTGAGGTCGCATATCGCCTGCTTAAACTTTTACATTCGACATTGAAACCACATCCGCGATTCGGCCGATCGATTCGGCTGAGGGGGGAAAAAAGGATGCACATGAGAAAAACCAGATCTGATTTCGCGTTATCATAATTAAAATGCATAAGAAAGTTCGTCACGCGTGAGAGAAAAACTAGTACTGTGCACACAAAATGGATCATGTATACACAATTGCAACATATGTCTCAACGCATTAGCGAGACGCGCCTGTGTGAAATGTACGATATTTCATCCGTACGATCATTCAATCGGAAGAATCCGGAACACGCGAGCTCTCATGCAAATCATCCCGTTCGTCGCACTTATTCGTAATGACACGATGTTTTGTGATCGGTAATCGCGTTCGCCGTCCGCGAAGATGGATAGCGTGCGGTAATTAATGCACGACGAAAATATACAAGCAATCGCCCCCGTTTTGTTTCACGCCGAGCAATCGATTCGATGCAGCAAACTGAAAAAGCGCTTATCGACGGACGAGATACAAAGCGCGATATTACGCGACGAGGCGATGAGAATTCTCGATTTATCAAACGGGACTTCCGCGGGGCGAAAAAGGAGAATCCGGGCATGGCAGACGGAAAGTGAATTGCAGCTCGCGTAATTCTCGACGCGGCAGGCACGTCAGTTTTTCTCACGATATCGACACTTCGGATCGTCGATTTTCCCGACGAGACATTTTGTTGTTGCTGTCTGTCTTTCTAACGTCGCCGAGAAACGATCTCGAGGAGAGCTGTCGCATATGTTGTTTTCCGCGAGGACTGCGTCGAACCGAGTCGCGCTCGTGATCGACTGCGATCTCCCAGAATGTTCTCAGAAAAGCTCGCTTCTTTGTGTGCCAGATTTTGTCGCACGAGCGTTCGCGAGAAATTCCTTGATGTGAAAAAAAGCTGAAAGAAAAACAGACGAAACCCGTTCGACGGGAATTCGTGGCGCTCAAGCTGTCATATATGCTGCGGCTCGCGTTCAACGCTATTGTACGGCGTTGCGCTTTGATTGCATCGTCAGCAAAATTTACGGAATGCCCCCGCGAGCGCGCGGATAAGAAAAACGAAAAAAAAAAGAAGAAAAATAGATCGCCGAGAGAATGCATCAATAATTTTCCGAGCTTATCGGCGGCCTAACGCGAGCACTCACATCATCGCTGTAATCGTCCTGCATTTTCGTCCGTCTGTCACAACGTCGCACCGATACCACTGTTCGTCACACACTGACAGCTGCTCGGCTGACCGATGTAAATACGGCGAACCGACTGCGCGGATCTTTGAATGAAGACGAGCGATTATCCGAGAATGCGGGCGCGCGGGGGACGTCCGCACTTCGCGTTATCCCGGGGATTCGTGCGCCGTTCACACCGATGTGACAAACGCGCCTGTCATGTCCCGTCTTCGTTCTCCTCGTCGCACGTACGTCGCCCGTTTGTCGCGCACGACGTATGACAGGCCGCGAGAGCCGGACGGATCAGCCGTGACTTTTGACACAAAAGCGACGCGCCGCGCATGCACGTTTCGCCCCATGAAAATGACGGACGATATTCCAAGTCGCCGTCGACGTTCTCACGCGCATTTCTCCCGTCGGCGGAAAAATCCGTGATGTACCGCGACACCTCACTCACCTTACGTTGTTGCTCGTTGGCAGCCATTTCTGATTTCACTTGACAATTCACTCAGCAGCGCATAATACAGACACAGATAAAGCTGCGCTCTGCACACTTGCCACTCCACGACCGCCTGACTCGCTTGCTCGCACGCTTTTCTCTCTCACTCGTACACCGATGACTTGCTTCATCCGTCTTTCTCGCGTCTACGCTCGCTGTCTCCCACTCCGCTTTTCGTCTCGTTCCCACCAACGTACGAGCTTGACACACAGACCGTTCGCGGCCCACGTGAGAGAAAATTCTCGTAGGATACGGTGTGACGTTCCCCGTTCGCTCTCTCACTTCTCTCTGCGCTCGCGATTCCTTGTTCACGAGCCGAGTGTGTTTCGTTCACTTCCTGTGACGTCCGGAAACATCAACGGAGGAGCGCTCGCGAACAAAAACGTCACGATGTATTCACGATCGTTGCGATCTGTAATCATTGCGAACGAGCGCAAGTTTCAAATCTTCGCTGATGAGCTCTTCAATGAAATGTCGCGTGGCTATTGATGTCATGGCTGCGTTTTGTCACGACAGATTTGTACTTACGTCTTCGTCTTCTAACAGGATCCAAATGCGCGCAAATTTAATTAGTATTTCGTTGATATGTCTTTACCTTGTGCCTCAGGTAGATAAAAATTATTCAAATTGTCGCGCGCTTTAGTCCAGTACGCGCATGCGCGAACATGCTGCCGCGAAAGTCCCTACGCCGCATATGCGTGCGCACGCGGAGTAACAGCTGATTGCTATGCGGCATCATACGGCATCGACGCAACAGCTGTTGTTCGGATGATTGTCAAATTTAGAGCTGTTGCTCGTCTAATCCCCCCTTGGTAAATTTAGGCAGAGGCAATGAGTAAGTGGATGAATCATTTTTAATATTCCTTCAAAAAATCGTCGGGTACAGAATATAGAATAGAAATGGTAAGTGAACAATGAAAATGTAAAAATAGATATTATGTGTCTTTGTCTTTTTCTTGGAATACATTATCTGGACTTTCACATAAAGGTAGCGTAGAAAACTGGTTTCAATTCACAAAGAGATAATGATTTAACAGTAGACGAGTTTTATATCTATACATTTATCGTACGAAATTAGACAATTATAAGTATATATATAAGTACATATGTATATATAAAATAAACGTCACGAGCAGCACGTATCTTTTTATTGCGTTGAGAAGAAAGAACAAGGCTCAAGATTATTAATGCAGATCGAGCTTCGTCGTTAAATTGCTAGCTGTTGTGTTGTGTGTGGACGTAACATTTAAAATTAGATTAAAGTTAAATATATCACAAAGTACGGCTGGAACATGATATTTTTGTATATTTAACGTAGGTCAATAATGATAATGTTGATAATGACGGAATAATTTGCCGTACGTGTTTTCTTTTATATATTGTCTTCGTATCTTTTTATTCTTACACTATGAATAGATATTGCATATTAAAATATCGTAAATACATGAAATACATACTACAAATTATTAAAAATTCTATAAATAAAATTGCAATTATTCGGTATTCAACACAGTCATGAAAAATTTTGATTTTTACGTTTTATGCATTATTGCGTAAGCAATATAAGTAAAAAAATGATATGTCACGTATTACTATTATTATTTATTGAAACACATTGTAATTCTCGTATGTTTATTCTTTATTTGCCACGTATAGATAAGAGACGCGAACTATTTGGTAAACATTTGAGTTTGTTTGTACTCTTATACGATTACGTTATTCGATTCGCGATAATACATTTATGACATATACGTACACTGTTAATAATTTTTTTTAGTATAACAATAACATTTTCTTATATCATAAGTTGAGTTAAATCTGAAATAAAACAATTAATAAATATATGCAGTTGGAAAAATAATTTCTTAGTTGGCAAAAAATTTTACAATACTTAATACGTTTCAGAAAAACATCTATTTCTCAATTTTATATAATAATGTCTAATATATATCTGAAAATAGCATTATAAGAATATTTTTAATTTTTAGCAAGCAATAACTGATAAGGTGGAAATTTCTTAGTAACTTTTTTTATCGACTGTTACCTTTCTGTTGAAGCAGCACGCAGACCTCCGTTATCGGTGGCGCCTCTTTCGGAGAAATAAAAACTTACTGAAATTCAAACTTTACGTTCACGGATTTACGCCATTTTGTTCGTAGTCACGCATGGTTTTGCAGCATCAGCCGACCTAAGCCGACCTTATAAATATCGGAATCTTCTTGCTATCTTGTCTATTCACCGTGGATTTGCACTTGAATTGAAATAAGGTATGCGTATAACCTGCGGGAATAGAGATTTCCTTTTCACGTGTGCAAATAAATTGCGAGATTTCTACTCGAAATTTACTGTCTGCAGAGAACTATTTTTTGAGACTATGCGAATTTATACTGTTGTAATATTTAGCCATTTCTTCCTATCTTATTTCTTGAAATGTGTATATTCTGGAAATAGCATTGATAAAACGCATAATATATTGCAGATAAATATGCAAAACACATAATTTTTAGGACATAAAAATCTTTTTATTTGAATTGTATATAAATCATATATATTTTGCGGAATCTTCAAGGATTGTGTTTTTGATGACACTATGAACTAACGACATTATGGAATCATAACGAAATTAATAGTATCCTGCATCAGCATCATAGTTACACATCCTGCTGCAACAATTAAATTGTACGATTTGAATTGACGATTGAATTTTGACAGTATGGTCAGTTATATAATTTTAAAATAATAATTAACAAAAATCAACAAAAATGTATAATGAAAAATTTATTTAAATATCTGACATATATTTGAGTTTGTTTATTCTTTTTTCTATTATGTTATATAATATAATATTTTATTATTACAATTTTGGGGAAAAAATGCATTGAGATTAAAATTAATTAGTTATTAATATATTTATTACATTATTGATATTAATGTTTTCCAACATGGAAAAGAATAGCGATACTCTCTGAAAAAATATGTTTATGTAATGATATTATAGAATAATTATTTTGTATATTTTTTAGTTTTACAATGAGACAGTATAAACTTTACATGTTAACAATAAATATAAAATATTAATTTTTTTTTATATTATAAAATAATTTTGTAAACGATAATTGATAAAGTAGAAAATTGCCGACGTTTTTATCGACCTATTACCAGTTAAGATGGTTATTACAAGTGTTGTTAGTGGCTCCGTCGCGGAGAAATTAGTAATTATTAAAATTAAAATATTTTTACTTTGTAAATTCGCGCCGTTATTCATTAATCGTGTACGGCTAGCAACTTTGCTGATATCTTATAGCTGATTTATTCGCCGCAAATTGAACTGACATTGAAATAAGGTATGCGTGTGATTGAAATAAGATATTTTCTGTGGGAATAGAGGTTTCCTTTTCGCGCGCATAAATAAATTTTAGCTTTCTTCTCGAAATTCTCTTTCTGTAGAAAGCTGGTTCTTTGAGGTTATGTGAATCTAATCATTCCAATATTTTATTCCTTGAAACGTATTATTTCAGAAATAGCGAAGAAGGAGAATACGTAATGCATTACGCGTAAAATGTACAATTTATAAAAATATTTTGTGTAGAGACGGATTTTTTTCGAGAACTCTTGCTGTTAATGACGTCATTGCGGAATCGTAAGCGGAATCATGGTAGCAATCACGGCAATTTTGCAGCGACGATTGAATTCTAGAATCTCAATGGCACGGTGAGTTAAGTGATTTAAAAATAATAATTGGTGCTATACAAAAATATGAAATATGAAATCTTGTTGAAATCTGAAATCTATTGAAATATTCGTATCTGAAACATTTTTGAGTTTGTTTCATTACCTTTATGGTAATAAAGGTCTTCCTGTTGCGTTTTTTTATGAAGGAAAAATATTTTGACATTAAAATTGCTTATTACATTAATATTTACTTATTTAGACAGAAATAATAATCGATTGTTTGAAAAAATATTGCATATACATATGTGTTTTTGTATTATAGTTACATTACGTTATAAAATAATCATATTGTTTTCATATTCTTTACTTATTTCACATTATTATTTGTTTTATATTTTTCAGTTTTATAAAAAGATGATATAAATTTTGTATGCATAAAGTAAGAAAGAAAATAAACACTTTGTGTCTATCAATATAAAAAATTCATATCATTTTATTTTTGTATAACACTGAAAAATATAAAACAGATAATAACATGAAATATGTAAAGAACATAAAAATAATATGATTACTTTGTAACATATAATGTAATTAGAGAATGTTTTATATAAAAAGCAAGATAGAAAATAAACACTTTGTCGATATAAATCTTCATCTATAGATGAAGAATGAATTAACTTTAATTTAAAATATTAAATTTATAATTCACTTATAATTGCATGTCATTATTATAAATTTATGAGATTTAAAATGTCATACGATGCTGTATTTGTTATTGAAATTAAATTTTCTTGAATAATTTGATTTGACATCGTGGCACGTTTTGGGTCTCTCCCAGAATAACGCACTGCAAAGTTTAATTTACGTGTTCGTCCTTTGTATCGTTCATGCGGTGTACGATGTAAACTCATATAAAAGTCAATCTCTGGCAGTCGTTGTTTCATAACGGAAGCTGTAATCTGCATGCCTTTGATCCGGCTGAATGATTTTTCAGCCTTCCGACCTTTCTATTTCATTAAATTTCCTTAAAACTTTCTCTGTAGTATCTTTGCTGTTTAGCCAATTTTCCTTTATGAGAGAAAGATATTTTTTTATTAAAAGGTAATTTGCAGTAATTTTACATTACATCTTTTTATAGTTCTAATGATTTTTATCATGCTGTGTATTATAGCTTTATTTATTTATTTGTATATTTTTTTATATTTTTTACACAAGTTAATCTTATTTTGCGTTTGGTTATATTTTGTTTTTTATATCAATTTCATATTTTTATTCTCTTTTTTTCTTCTTGCTGTGCCATGCTTGCGTAGCTTATTAAGTTTAACAACCCCTAACTTATTTCAACTTGCTTATAGAGTAGATGAACTTTAGCCTCTTGCCTCTTTGTATTATTTAAGGAGAGGCGACGTGAGCGATGGTCCAAAATTTTTTTCGCCATCGATTAGATTTGTCTTCATTGACTGCGAACGCAAAAGCAATTGGGGAATGGCGCCGGACGAGGCTTAAGATCGAAAACTGATGTAGGACGTAAGCGCACGTAGCTAGTGCACAAACAACGCTGTAACTCATTTACGCAACACTGATTGGCTTAAGACACGCGGCGTCTTTTCCCTTTTGATTTACGAGCACGTTTGCAACCTGCTAGTCTCTTCTGAGATTTATCTTGCTACGACAATAATCGAGTTCAGTCTCGATAATCAAATTACATGTTTTTACACTAGTGAGCCATGTACACGATATCTCAGACTTCCCGTGATCTTACGGGAATAGCTTCTTTATCAAACAGGAGAAACGAACAGTATGATTAGATTAATAGCCATATATGTGAAAAAGCATTCGCAGGAATTAAAACTTTAAGCTTGTCAATTGATAATACAATTTTATTTTTTATTTAAATCATCTTGAAAAAATATCACATTAATAGAATGTTAACTTGTAGATTTAATTATATACATACGCATGTGAAGATATAAAACAGAAGTCTTCGCAATCAAATCTTAGCCGGAAAAAGAACTCATATCAAGTTGTACGAAGAATTCTTATATGAGACGAGGGGAAAACTGAGACATCCTATATGTGCGAGAAAATAAAACTCGGGATGAGGGACAAAAGGGATGATAAATTATAATCATGACTTTGTCAGATTTCTCGGAAGAAGTTTGCCATGAAAAGTAATTTTGCCGTTCCATGTGCACATTTTCGAAATAATTCGGCGTCAGAGGATATGAAAAAAACTTACTTTCGCAATCAAAACTGCTCTCGTGTACTATTTTTCTGCATACGAACTGCAATTTCCAACTAACTTTACGTATAAAAAGCATTTATTTACAATATATGTCACGCTCTATCTCTTGTTACATTCATTGACCATCATATAAATCTGTTAATATTGCGGATTAGTGAAAGCTTAGTGAAAGCTAATAGAATAATAGAGTTTAATTTTAAAGTAGAGTTAAATGAATTAAAAAGTGTCTTTGACGTTTACCAGATTTAATTCAGAGTGATCTCTTGCATGATACTTGATTGAGTGTATGTGTGTAAAGCTAGATTAAAATCAAATATTATTCGATTAAAATTATTCTGTGATAAGGTAAATGTTCGAGCGGCCGGAGATTTAAGAGTTAATCATTATTGAAGACATACTTTGTTCTATTAAAATAATATTTTCCTCATCTCTTTGTTTGGATAAAAATTTAAGTTTACTTGAGAAATGAAATCAAAATTATCAATTAACAGTTAAATATTTATAAGAGATGTTGAATATACATATATATTGTATCAGTGTCTTGATATAATATAGAATACATGCAAATACTTTTTGAATAAGAAATTCAGAAATTTCTTCCTGAGATTAATGAAAAATGATTTTTAAAAACTTGAAGTGTGAGATTTCTATATGTAGATGTAATTGTTATTATATTCGTGCCGCAAGTGGTTTTTGTAAATGTAGCCCTTTTGTAAAAAGTTCAGGCCTTTTATAAAACGCTGACATACAAAAATTCGACGCTCTGTGACAAAAGTAAACTTTTCGTAAAGAAGCAGAATTTAGAGAGTCTGCAACTTATATATTCTATGCATTCTAAATGAGAATAGAGACGGCACAGATATATCTAAATTTTTATGAAAGCTTTTAATATTTTTAAACATAATATTTTTTTATTTTATACATTTTTTAAATCAGCAGCTCAGCATTAAATAGTGCTACGACGTCGGTTTGTCACGAATCAAAGTATCGCTGTAGGATTTTGTGCTCATCGCGTTCTACCTTTTCTCTTTCAAAGGATAATAATAGTTTATGCAGTTTGACGCGGGTTGAAATGAGAATAAGTTCGACACAGCTTCTGACGAAGGTTTAGCGTTAACGAACTTTGACGGTAGTCTTCGTAAACTAACAAAGTCGTTTTGGGCCACTTACGAGCGCGTCCTCGTACTCACCTCGGGAGCGGCAGAACTTTCCAAGATGCGACGGTGCACCCACATCGGGAATGCGCCTGTGTCGTATCGCATAATGCCCGTTCTGACACATTCTTCGAACGGTCTTATAAAGAGGAGGCGTTGTCTCTTCAGGAACCTAATCGTTATTGCTCGTAACTTCGCATCATATTTGAACGCGCTTGAATTTATGCTGGCGAAGTCGCTTTCATAGTGAATTACCGCATGCAAACTGGAATTATATAGTTTATGAAGCACTCGGATCTTGAATAAATGTTTGAGATCGCGGCGCAAACAGAACACATCTCAGATCGATTATTATACATTCGCACACTTGTTTCGTTTGCATGAAACTTCTCGGAATTGTCTATATTAATACGGGATCTTACGCAATTCTTGACTGTAGACACGAAGATTGCATTCCATTTGAAATCTACTGCATTGGTTGCAATAGGAATTAATAATTTAATAAAAAATGCAGGATACATATTTATAAGAAATGGATTGATAAAAAGTATTACAAATTAATTGGGAAAAAAATATTTTATTTCTTATTTTTTTCAGTTATAAAAATATTTGTTCAAAATGGAAATATTTGAAATACCTGCTTCTTCTTTATCGTGACGCATAAGAGAAAAACCACTTAATTTTAAAAACAAATTTATTTAAAAATTTTGATATGTCATTTCCTGAGCGAATCAGATCTAACGTAAAATAAATTTTATGCAAACGAGATTCTGTTTGCGTTTGTTATGACGTAAACATTTTTTCAATTTTAATATTGGTTGTTTGTTCGTTGTTTGCTGGCATACATTCAGTGTGTATCATTTACGGAAGCTTCGGAATATGATTAGGGTTTTTACTTACCTTTTAAAGGTTAAATAATGAAATAATGAATTTTATATTTTTTAATACGGTTTTATAAATTAATAATTTAAATATTATGATTATCGATTCATTGGATTATTTTTATAAAAAGATACATAATGTTTTATTATTTATATAGGATTTTAATGAAATTACTTGTTTAATATTTACATATTTTAATTTTAATTTATATATATAGATTGGACGATAAAATGACAATCAAACCATTTATTTCATAATTTATCTTTTCTAACATCGCGCGTCGCGCGACGGAGTTCTACGCTTCGGGATAAATTGAATTAGATTTGCACGAATGAAAATAAATTCGATTTTTGCGAATCGTTGCTCATGAAAGGTGCAAAAGAGCGTGCCTTTAGCACCATCCTCTTGACCGGTTTATGAACCGCCACGGACGGATGCGCGCGATCGGAAAACTATCCGTTTGCTCGGAGGTGCTACTTCGTCTCCGTTTCTGCACGGATGCGAGAGTTACCTTTAGCTGCGACAGAAACTCCATTCGGTCGATGTAATGCTCCAACGAGCATTGCGATTACTTTTCTAATCAAGATATACGGTCGTTATTTTTACGGGTTGTTGCGTCTCAAGGCGTTGCTGATTTTTGTAAAACGAAATGAAGGAAATATCTTGTGACACTTTCTAGAAATATATAATTTATATTGATATATGAAATTGTCCAATTAAAAATACTCATTGAGGGAACATGATATATATATAAAATA